CATGAAATGCTGATTTTTGAAAAAAGTGACAAGACAATAAGAAAAAAAGTACTTTTTTTTTTTTTTTTTTTTTTTGAGACGGAGTCTTGCTCTGTCACCCAGGCTGGAGTGCAGTGGCTGGATCTCAGCTCACTGCAAGCTCCACCTCCCAGGTTTACGCCATTCTCCTGCCTCAGCCTCCCGAGTAGCTGGGACTACAGGCACCCACCATGTCACCCGGCTAGTTTTTTGTATTTTTTAGTGGAGACAGGGTTTCACCATGTTAACCAGGATGGTCTCGATCTCCTGACCTCGTGATCCACCCGTCTCGGCCTCCCAAAGTGCTGGGATTACAGGCCTGAGCCACCGCGCCCGGCCAAAAAGTACTTTCAACAAATGGTGCTGAAGCAAGTGAATATCCACATGCAAAAGGATGAATTTGGAACCCTACCTCACACCATACACAAAATTTAACTCAAAATGACAGACCTAATTTTCTAATTAGAAAATCCTGAGAAGAAAACAAAAGTAAACCTTTAGGACCTGAGGTTAATCAATGATTTATTAGATTCAACACCAAAGTACAAGCAATAAAAGAACAAAAATTGATCGATTAGACCATGAAAATTAAAAACTTTTGCACTTTAAAAATAAGAATTCTGATATTCCCAATTAAATGTAATATGATTTTTTACTTACTTGATTTTATAATTGTGTATCTTTTACACTGATAATTTTTTTTTCTTTTTTTAATGTCACCCAGGCTGGATTGCAGTGGCACAATCTTGGTTCACTGCAATCTCCACCTCCCAGGCTCAAGTGATCCTCCCAACCCAGCCTCCTGAGTAGCTGGTACTACAGACACGTGCCACCGTGCCTGGCTAATTTTTTTGTGTTTTTTGTAGAGATGGTGGTTTTGCCATGTTGCCCAGGCTGGTCTGAACTTCCGACCTCAGATGATCCACCCACCTCGGCCTCCCAAAGTGCTGGAATTACAGGCATGAGCCACCATGCCCAGCCTACACTGAAAATCTGAATAATTACATACATGTTACCATATTATAAATAGTGCCAAAATAATAATAGCCATATTATTAATAACAAGACAACTGAATGTGATTTAAAATTTATTTGCTGCTCTTCTTTTCCTAGGATGGAGCCTGCTAGAATATACAACCAGAATACCACAAATTTAAAGATACTAAAAATTTAAAGATACACAAATTTAATGATACTCCAGACCGGGTGCAGTGGCTCATACCTGCAATCCCAGCACTTTGGGAGGCCAAGAGGGGAGGATCACTTTAGCCCAGGAGTTCAAGACTAGCCTGGGCAACACAGCAAGACCTCTAAAAAAAAAAAATTATCAAAAAAAAAAGTAAAAAGGCCAGACATAGTGGCACACACCTGTAGTCCCCAACTACTCAGGAAGCTGAGGCGAGAGGATCACTTGAGCCCAAGAGTTTGAGCCCAGCCTGAGCAATATAGCAAGATCCCATCTATAAAATAAAAATATAAAGAACAGGTATGGTAGCTCATGCCCATAATCCTAGCTTTTGGGGAGGCCAAGGAAGGATTGTTTGAGCCTCGGCTGAGGTGGGAAGCGTTCAAGACCAGCCTGGGCAATACAGTGAAACCCCATCCCTACCAAAAATACAAAAAATTAGCTGGGCTTTATTGCATGCACCCATAGTCCAAGCTACTTGGGAGGCTGAGGAGGGAAGATGGTTTGAGCCCAGGAGGCAGAGGCTGCAGTGAGCTGAGATCGTGCCACTGCACTCCAGCCTGGGCAACAGAGCCAGACCCTGTCTCTAAAATAAAAAATAAAATAAAGTAAAATGAAATGAAATAAACAAAATAAAATAAAATAAAAATAGATACTGAAAAAAATTTGTGTGAGCTGGGCACAGGGGCTCTTGCCTGTAATACCAGCACTTTTGGGAGGCCATTGCAGGAGGATCGCTTGAGCCCAGGAGTTTAAGACCAGCCTGAACAACATAGGGAGACCCCATCTCTACAAAAATTAAAAAATTATCCAGGCGTGGTGGCAGTATGACTGTAGTCTCAGCTACTTGGAAGGCTGAAGTTGGAGGATTGCTTGGGCAAGGGAGGTCAAGGCTTCAGTGAACTGTGATTGTGCCACTGCACTCCAGCCTGGGCAACAGAGCAAGACCGTCTCAAAAAACAACAAAAAAACTTGTGTGATTATGCCATGAACTTAATATAGTTAGGCTCATTTATTTTTAATTGCTAAGGATTGCTTTTTTTTTTCCTTTGATTCTAATTTTGTCTCCTAATTATACAAAACATTTACATGGTTCTAAACTATAAAAAAGGAACATTCAGGTAAATCTTAACTCTCATTCCTGTCCCCTCTACTCTGTTCCTCCTTTCTCTCTATAAGTAAATACATTTATAAGTTTGTGGTTTATCCTTCCATTGTTTTTTGAAAGCATAAGGAAATACACACTCATATCTCCCTCATTCCTTACATAAAAAGTACAATACTCTACATTCTGTCCACATACATTGCTCTTTCACATAACAGTATATCCTGGAGATCACGCCATGGGAGTAAAGAGATACCTTCCCCATTCCTTTTCATAGCTGCATAGTAGTAATTCATTTTGCAGCTATACCAGGCCTGATGAGCGTCTGAGTTGTTTTTAGTCCTGCTATTACAAGTACTATTGTAATAAGTAACCGTGTACATGCTTCATTTCATAATTTTTTGCCAGTGAATTTTTGGGACAGAATCCTAGAAGTGGAATTGCTAATCAAAGGGTGACTGCACATATAGTTTTGTTCAATGTTGCTAACTTCTTCTCCATTAGGGTTATATCATTTGCAATAACCTTTTAACTGTTTCCCTTCTTCCACTCTTGTCTACCTACACCCATTCTCCCTCCTATCTTATAAAATACTAATTCAATCATATTACTCTCTTACTTAAAATCTTTCAGTGGCTTCCCATTGCATTTATAATAAAATTCAATCTCTTCACACTATAAAAACTTAGGTGATATAGCTCCTCCCTCTGTATCAAGTTAGAATTAGGTCTATCAGCAAGAAAGACCCAAAATGACAACAGCTAAAAGAAGACAGAAGTTTACTTCTCTGACAAGAAAATCTAGAGGAAGACTGCCCAAGGCCGGCACTGGAGTTCACCTTCAAGAAAACCTCAGGGCACAAGCTCCTCCCAGGCCATGCTCTGTCATCCCTAGGACTTGTTCCTCATCCCCATGACCTAAGAGAATAGCTATAGTACTAGTCATAATTTCAATGTTCCAGGCAGCAAAGTGAGAAGAAGGGAAAAGTAAGAAAAGGGGGATGCCAGTTGTTTTTTATTATAGGTAAGATTCCTGGAAGCTCTACATGACACTTCAGTTTGTATCTCAAATCAGAACTTACTCATATGACTATACCTACCTACGAAGGAGGATGGAAAATATCATCTTTATTCTGGGCAGCCAGGTGCCCCAGCCAAAAATTGGGAGATATTATGCCATGGAAGAAGGCTCTGCTGCACAACCTGTTCAGTTTCAGCTCATAATAGGCCATACACCCTTTATTCACTATGCTCTAGCCAAAAAACTTCCTTTGTTCTTCAAAGCTGCCAAACTCTTACCTATCTCAAGGTTTCTCCTGCCTAGCACACCCTTCCTCAGATCTTCACATGGCTTGTTCCATCTCATCATTCAGGACTCAGTTCAAAAGGTCACTTCCTCAGATAGATCTTTGACTACTGTATGAAAGGTAGGCCCCACCCCAGTCACCCTTTTTCATATTGCACTGCCTTATTTTCTTCATGGCATTTGTCTCTGAAATTATTTACTTTTTGCTTTATTTCACTAGAATATAATTTCCTCAGAACAAAGATCTTTTTTTCACTTCTTCACTGCTATATTCCTATTACACAATACAATTCTAAGCATATGGTAGGAGTTTAGTATTAGTTGAATGGATGAATGTCTCACTCCAAAGCCCATGCTTTTCCCATTACATCTGCTGCTCCTAGTATATCTGAAATAATATCCCATTCCAGTAGCTAATCTTTGTTTTTTTGAGAATGATAGCCTATTAATTTTCTCTCAATCAAGATTTTTAAAAAATTATTCTTAAAGTAAAAGAAAATCTTATGCTCAGTAAGTAAAAAGAAGAGATTTGGATAAAACATCATGGGCAAGACTCTTAAGTTGCTCGATCTCAGTTTTCATCTGTAAAAAGAAAGGGTTGATAAAAATTGATTTAATCTACAGATATTTATCAAGCATTATGCTAAACTGGGACATGAAGGTTAAATAAGATAATTTCTGACCTCAAAAAGGGCTCACAGGTGCCTTTCAACTCTATAATTTGTGTGATTATATATAATTGTTAGTCCGCACCCTGTGTTAATAGAAAAAGCCTACCAATTTCCACTACTGAGATGTTAATTAAAAGATGTCAAGACATTGATAAACACATTGGTTCACTTTAAAACGAACATTTAATTCAACATTGCAACAGGAGTTGAACTGTATTTAAAACAGAAGCATATTAGTGACTAAAAAAAAATGTGTACATTAATCCTTAGTTCCCTTTTGAGGGGATTTTGATTGCCAGTTCTCTGCAGTGAAATGCTAGGAAAATGTCTTTAGAAGACAGAATTCTTTCTGAATGCAAGTCTAAAATGCTTAAAAGAGATTAAAGGTTTTAAAGACTCAAATCAGAAATATCCATTAGATATATCTCATTTGAATCCTAAGAGTTTAAACACAATAAACACTATATTTATTTACTTTATTTTTTGAGGCAGAGTCTCACTTTGTTGCCCAGGCTGGAGTGCAGTGGTGCAATCTTGACTCACTGCAGCCTGTCTTCTGGGTTCAAACGATTCTCTTGCCTCAGCCTCCCCAGTAGCTGGGATTATAGGCATGCGCCACCACACCCAGCTAATTTTTGTATTTTCAGTAGAGCAGCGGTTTCACCATGTTGGCCAGGCTGGTCTAGAATTCCTGGCCTCAAATGATCCACCCACCTCAGCCTCCAAAAGTGCTAGAATTACAAGTGTGAGTCACCAAGCCCAGCCTATATATATATATATATAATATATATATATATAAAAAATATATATTTAAAGATGACAAGAAATTAATAACTCAGCATTTTGAGATTGGCATGCCAGGTTATCATGATTAGTACATGGGCACCTGGCTGTGGGTCATCTACTACCATATTCTTTGTACTTCTAGATCCTTCTTGGCTTCCATCTTGGCAACTCCAAAGGCATGGTGGGGAAAACAGATGCAGAGATAGATGCCTATTTCTCCTGCAGTCTCTTTCAGCATAGCAATTAGGCAAGTCATCAATAAGAAAAAGAGTATATAATCTATAACTTATAGTCCACATAAGGCTTCACTCAATTTGAAAAACTGCCAGTTCTGTCAAGTATGCTAACACTCCGATAAGATATTTATGACACAGAATCTGCAAAAAGAAAAAGAAGACATTTATAATTAGAATAGTATTAATTATAACAAAGCAGATTGATATTTGAGTAATCAATGTTATATTGGTGTAACTTCTGGATTTAATTCATGAAGTTTAACAAATGCAATACACTCTTTTTTGGCCAGGCACAGTGGTTTATCCCTATAATCCCAGCACTTTGAGAGGCTGAGGCAGGAGGATCACTTGAGCCTAGGAGTTCAAGACCAGCCTGGGCAACAAAGGGAGACCTCATCGCTACAAAAAATTGTAAAATGTAAAAAACAGCCAGGTGTAGTGGTATACACCTATAGTCCCAGCTGCTCACAAGGCTGAGGGAGGAGGATCACTTGAGCCCAGGAGTTAAAGGTTATAGTGAGCTATAATCACGCTACTGCATTCCAGCCTGGGTGAAAAAGTGAGACGCTGTCTCTAAAACAAAAAACAAACCTCTCATTTTTATATTTTCTATTTCTTTCCTTTTTTATTTCTTAATGCTAGTCTCTTCTCAACAAAATTATTTCCCAACCTACTGTTGCACTGTGACCTCCAGTTTGAAAAGCATGAATATAGTGCTTACAGAGTATTGACTTCTTGGATCTAAGAGATAAGAGTTCAAATCTTGATTCTTCTTCTTGATAAGCTATCTTGCTTGTCATTTAAACCTGTCTTGGTCTCAGTTTCCTTGTTTTAAAATAAAATATGGATAAAAACACCTAACTGTCCGGGCACGGTGGCTCACGCCTATAATCCCAGCACTTTGGGAGGCTGAGGCGGTTGGATCACGAGGTCAGCCTGGCCAACATGGCAAAACCCCATCTCTACTAAAAATACAAAAATTAGCCAGGCATGACGGTGGGCGCCTGTAATCCCAGCTACTCAGGAGGCTGAGGCAGGAGAATTGCTTGAACCGAGGAGGTGGAGACTGCAGTAAGCCAAGATCACACCACTGCACACCAGCCTAGGAGACAGAGCAAGATTCCATCTCAAAGGAAAAATAATAATAATAATAAAAAAAACCTAACTAGCCGGGCACAGTGGCTCACACCTGTAATCCCAACACTTCAGGAGGCCAAGGCAAGTGGATCATTTGAGGTCAGGAGTTCAACACCAGCCTGGCCAACATGGTGAAACCCCAACTCTACTAAAAATACAAAAATTAGCTGGGCATGGTGGCAGGCACATGTAGTCTCAGCTACTCAGGAGGCTGAGGCAGGAGAATCACTTGAACCCAGGAAACAGAAGTTGCAGTGAGTTGAGATCACACCACTGCACTCCAGCCTGGGCAACAGAGCAAGACTCCATCTAAAAATAAATAAATAAAGGTAAAAATAGTTAAAAAAAAAAAGTAAAATTACAAAAATTAGCCAGGTGTAGTGGCTTATGCTTGTAGTCCCAGCTACTCAGGAGGCTGAGGCACAAGAATCGTTTGAGCCCAGAAAGCAGAGGTTGTAGTTAGCCGAGATCGCACCACTGCACTCCAGCCTGGGTGATGGAGTAAGATTCTGTCTCAAAAAAAACAAAAAGCAAACACACAAAAAACACCTAACTACAGGGTTGCTCTAAAGATTAGAATTTAAGGTCTGTTAAACTCTTGGCACAGTAACAAGATCACAGGAAACATTTACTGAATGTATATTGTGGCTGTATATTTTAACACATTTTAGGAGCCAATTCTCAGTTTATTTCTGATACTTTTTTTTTTTTGAGACAGAGTCTCACTTTGTTGCCCAGGCTGGAGTGCAGTGGCGCAATCTCGGTTCACTGCAAGCTCCGCCTCCCGGGTTCACACCATTCTCCTGCCTCAGCCTCCCACGTAGCTGGGACTACAGGCGCCTGCCACCACACCTGGCTAATTTTTTGTATTTTTAGTAGAGACGGGTTTTCACTGTGTTAGCCAGGATGGTCTCGATCTCCTGACCTCGTGATCTGCCTGCCTCAGCCTCCCAAAGTGCTGGGATTACAGGCATGAGCCACCGTGCCTGCCCTATTTCTGATACTTCTTATCAGAAATCACTCTGCAGAGAATAAAACAAAGTCTGTATTATTTCTTTCCCAATAAGGATAGAAAAGCCTAGAATATAGAGATGACATCTTAGTCCTGTGTTTCTGGCTATAATTTTGTCTAACATACAAAATTCTCTATTACTCTGATAATTAATTCAAAATTTCACAAGAAACAATTTTCAAAGTTTCAAAGTTACTACAAAATAATAATTCATATTATTACCAAAGGCTGAAGCACACAGCATATAGTGTCCTTCCATTATCAGGCTATATCTAGAAGGCTAAAGACTTTAGTAAACCATAAACCATAACATAAAAGCTCTCTGTTGTCTTGAATACATTCAAGTATGTTTCTTCAATGTGGACAATACAATCATCATACATTTTTAAAACCATAAAATGAGGAAAAATTACTTAACTAGATTGTTCAAACTAACCTTTATTTTTCCATCAGTATGTGCTGAAGCTACAGATGTTGAAACACGAACCAATCTTGTGGCTGATAAATGAATCTTGAAATGTCTATGGAAATGTGAATAAAGGCAGTCCATGAATAGGTCAACTTCTTCCTGGGTAACCTCCCCAGGTGTTTTGTGGATGCTGTCCCATAGAGCTTTTGCATCCTCTGGATGTATTGCATAAGAAATGTCCAGACTTTGAGGGCTACAGGGTACAGACCAAAGAAATTCAGTAGTAGCCACATAATGGTCCACTTTGCATGCAGTCCACATGGCAGCCATCCAGGAAAGATTAAATGCATTGATTGTTAAAGGACTGAAATAACAGTCAAAGGTTTTCTGAAACCAAGTTCCAATTATGGCTGTGTTAGACTCTGCTCCATTTGCAAGGAATAAGGGCAGACAGGTGAAATCTTCTGAAACAGTCTCCAGAAGACTGTCTCCAAAAATACAGCAGAACCAGCCAGTCCACAACACTTTACCTTCTCTATTCTCAGATGGCAATTGAGATTTTGACAGAATCTACAAAGAAAGTAAACAGGTCCCTTAAATTCAAAAGTACATTTACTTCTAAATTCCATCTGCTCAAAATTAGTTCATTAAAAATAAGACGAGCCAATGTAATACCTGCAAAAAAACATAGAGGGAATAGTCTCCCTAATGATTAACAGGATATATAAAAATAATTGGCTTTTTTTTTTTTTTTTTTTTTTTTTGAGACAGAGTCTCACTCTGTTGCCCAGACTGGAGTGCAGTGGCGCAATCTCAGCTCACTGCAACCTCCACCTCCTGGGTTCAAGTGATTCTCCAGCCTCAGCCTCCCAAGTAGCTGGGATTATAGGCATGCACCACCATGCCCGGCTAATTTTTGTATTTTCAGTAGGGATGGGGTTTCACCATATTGGCTAGGCTGGTCTCATACCTCTGACCTCAGGTGATCTGCCCACCTTGGCCTCCCAAAGTACTAGGATTATAGGCGTGAGCTACCATGCCCGGCCCCCCATATTCTTATACAGTGGAAACACGATGTATGGCAAGACCTTGGTGTAACCAAAATGCAAAATAAGAGCTACCAATATGGCATAACTAGGTGTAGTACCCTGAAACAAACAAACAAACAAAAAAAACCCTCAACTTTAGAAAGAACTGTGAAAGATCAAAAAATCCAACATGTTTGAATTCTTTCATTAAGGAAGACTTCAATATTTCCTAAGGCAGCACTATCAACTTAAAATGTTCTTTTATGGCCAGGCACAGTGGCTTACGCCTGTAATCCCAATACTTTGGGAGGCCAAGATGGGCAGATCACGAGGTCAGGAGATCGAGACCATCCTGGCTAACACGGTGAAACCCCGTCTCTACTAAAAATACAAAAAATTAGCCGGGCGCGCTGGCGGGCACCTGTAGTCCCAGCTACACGGGAGGCTGAGGCAGGAGAATGGCGTGAACCCGGGAGGCAGAGCTTGCAGTGAGTCGAGATCGGCCACTGCACTCCAGCCTGCACGACAGAGCGAGACTCCGTCTCAAAAAAAAAAAAAAAAAAAAATGTTCTTTTACATGTTAGACCCTACATTTTCTACCCACTGGTCCTGCTTTCTTCCTTTTGGGCATGTAGAATATAATCATATCTAATCTCTCTTCTACAGGAAAAGTCCTTCAGATATTTGATGGTCCCCATCATACATAGTACTAAGTTCAACATTTCCAGTTTCTTCAGCCATTCACCTAAGACATACATTCACATTCTCTCACTATTCTAGTCACTCTTCCCTGAAATTATTCTGCATAAGAATCATTCATAAGTGAACATAATTACTTTAAAAAGGTCTGATTCGGGGAAGGAGGGGGGAAAAACATCTGACTGCAAGACTAAACACCACCTTTAACCTAGATTATACTATTAATGTAATCTCAGATTGCAGTTTTCTGGTTTTTAGTTGACAGTTTTATATAAACTAGCCCTGTATATTCATGTTTGCTTTATAGGTAAATCTCTCCCAACTTATACTGAGGCTGTAAATTTATTCCTACTAAAATTTTAATCTCTTCTGATTTGGCTCATTGGACAATCCATTCAGATAATTTAGGATCTTTTATTATATTTTTAGCTGATTGCCTAACCCCTCAAACTTTAAATTTTAAGTTACATGACAAACATGCCTTCCAGATACTCAAAGAACTCTGTTAAAGCATTAAGCAGAGCAAGGTTAAGATCACAGCTTTGTATCACACCCCTTCAGAAATGATCATTTACACAGTCCTTTTAACATATTTCTCCTTCTTATTCAAGAAATTTTGAAACACTCTCAAATACCTGGAAGCTTAGATATATTAAGTTTATCACACTTTCATGACCTAAGAGTCCTGTAATCCTATCAAGAAATGAGATTTAATTTGAAAACTATTAGAACACTATACCAGGAATTCAAGAGGTCATTTCTAATCCTCACAAGGGTAGATGCTTGCCTCATAATATGCAAGTCACAAAACTTCTCTGTGCATCAGGTGCTTCACTTGAGAAAAACTGCTAGTTGTTTCTTGAGTATTCATTTTTCCTTCCACAATAAAATAGTCCCTTTATGGCCGGGCGAGATGGCTCATGCCTGCAATCCCAGAACTTAAGGAGGCCGAGGCGGGTGGATCACTTGAGCCCAGGAGTTTGAGACCAGCCTGGGCAACATGGTGAAACCCTGTCTCTACAAAAATATAAAATTAGCCTGGCATGGCGGCACATGCCTATAGTCCCAACTACTTGGGGGGCTGAGGCGGGAGGACTACTTGAGGCCAGGAGGTAGAGGTTGCAGTGAGCCGAGACAGTGCCACTGCACTCAACCTGGGTGACAGAGTGAGAACCTGTCTCAAAAAAAAAAAAGTCTCTTTAGTTAAGTTGGCAGAGTACCCACTGAAAAAACATTCTTTTCTAGTCTCCCTTCCAACTAAGATGTAAACAGAAGTTGTTGGGTCTCAGCAAGATTTACTCTGCATCAGGTTCTGTTTGTCCTTCCCATCTTCTTCCTACTTCCTGCCTGGAACTTAAATATAAGGTTTAGAGCTGCTGGAGACATCTTATGTTAGACCATAAGGTAACTTTTAGGATGAAAGTCATGCACTAAGGAGAAGAAAGAGCCTAGATTATTAATTATTTCATCAAGCATCATACCAGCCTTGGACAGCTTACATCCATGCACTTTAAAAAAAAAAAAAAAAAAAAAAAAAAGAAGACAGTATACCACTATCTTGTTTAATTCACTATTCTTTAGGCTAACCCTAATCCTAGAACATCTTGAGATCTTTGCCAATACCATGACCTATATCTGGGGTCACCAATTTTTTTCTGTAAAGGGCCAATTAGTAAGCATTTCAGACTTTGCTGGCAATATAGTCTCTGTTGCAACTTCTCAACTCTGCTGTTGCAGCACAAAAGCAGCCACAGACAATATATAAGCAAATAAAAGGGGCTATGTTCCAATAAAACCTTATTTACAAAAACAAGCAGCAGGTCAGATTTGGCCTATGATTTACTGACCCCTAATCCATACAAACAAAAAGTCAGTCCTTTTCAACTGCTTGAGAACTTAATTTCCTTATCCATTATTAAGATTAGTTAGCTCAAAAGAAACAGAAGCAACAGGCATGAATAATAAACAAAATAAATCTGAGGCTGAGTGTGGTGGTTCATGCCTGTAATCCCAGCACTTTGGGAAGCCAAGGTGGGTGGATCACTTGAGCCCAGGAGTTCGAGACCAACCTGGGCAACATGGCAAGACCCTGTCTACAAAAAATACAAAATTTACCCGAGTGTGGTGGCATGCACCTGTAGTCCCAGCTACTTGGAAGGCTAAGGTGGAAGGATCACTTGAGCCCAGGAGGCAGAGGTTGCAGTAAGCCAAGATCGTGCCACTGCACTCCAGCCTGGGTGACAAAATGAGACCCTATCTCAAAAAAAAAAAAAAAAAAAAAAGAAATGCAACATTTTATATTCCTTCCTGTAAGTAGTATATAAGACCAATAGAACTATCTTGATTGATTAAGAAACCAGATTTATTTATTTATTTATTTTTTGTAGAGATGGCATCTTGTCATGTTGCCCGGCTTTAAAATGTTACATTTCTGAAAGTAAGCTGGCATGAAATATCACAATATTTAATGATATATATTTGTATACTAAAATTCTACTTATAGAAATTTAATCCCAGAAAAACTCACAAAAATATAGAATTCCTAATGACATGAGTAATTGTCTACAATATTAGTAAAAATATAATGTACAAGTATGGGCAATATGATCCCAATTTCAAGACTATATAGATATAGATAACCAAACATATATACCAAAATGTTAAAACTATAATTTTTAACTTTTTTTGTACTTTCATGTATTTCCTCAGTTTTCAAAAATAAATATGATTTTGTACACAAACTATCTACATATGCAGGAAAAAAATTTTTAAGTTGATTACATCTAATTATTATAGTTCAGTCAAACAAGACATAAAATACATTATAAATCACAAACTTAGAAATTTTTAAAACAGTTAAGAAAATATCACAACAATTTCCAAACAAAGAAAATGCAGATTCTTTTCCCCTAGGAAGCAAGTATTGTTTATGTACTATACCTGGACAAGAAATGCTTCTGGATCCCTTTGTGTTCCTTTCATTCCTAGGAGAGTAGAAAAAATCACTTTGATGTTGAAGTCTTCTCCCACTTCCACAGCAAGTCCTTTTTGCTTTTCAGCAACAATAAAAGCATTCAGAAGTCTAGAATATTCTTTGAGATTACTATAGGAGAATTTATATAAGGGAGTTAAACTATATAAAGTCCACTGTTTATGCAGAAGGAATGCAACCTTTTGAGGGTCAACATCTTCCTACAAAAAAAAAAAAAAAAAATCAAGACAAAAGAAGTTTAAGAATGAGGAAACATTAATAAGAATTTAATCACAGCATTTAAAACATCTAATACAAATATATTATAGGGTACCTGATTTTTGCACTCCAACCAAATGAGTTTGCAGGACTCATTTTTGCAGATCCTTAAACAGACTTTTACCTTTCTGTAACTTCTCTTTAGAATGCTCTTCTCCCAAGTGTTCACACGGCAAGTTCCTTCACTTCATTCAGTTCTCTACCCAGATGTAATCCAAGAGGCCACTCGATCTAAAGTAGCACCTGCACGCACTCCAAGTTTGTATCACCTCACCCAGATTTTTCTTCACAGCACTTATTACTACTCAACATTATATTCTTGTCTGCAGTTTTTTTGTATTTTTATTATCTGTCTACTTGTGTATAAGCTTGATGACAGCAGTGATTTTGTCTATTTAGTTCTCTCTAGAACAAAGCTATCTAGAACAAGTGTCCAATAAATATTTAACATAAAATTTATGTTTCACTTTTAGAAACTTCAAATTATAGATTTCAAAAATAGTAACCATCCCTAAAGTATCTAATTTGATTAGCCCTAATTTAAAAAAATTGTTTGGGCCAGGCGTGGTGGCTCATGCCTGTAATCCCAGCACTTTGGGAGGCTGAGGCAGGTGGATCACAAGGTCAGGAGTTCGAGACCAGCCTAGCCAACACGGTAGAACACCGTCTCTACTAAAAATACAAAAATAAATAAGCCGGGCATGGTGGTGTGGACCTGTGATCCCAGCTACTCAGGAGGTTGAGGTAGGAGAATTCCTTGAATCTGGAGGGCAAAGGTTGCAGTGAGCTGAGATCATGCCACTGCACTCCAGCCTGGATGGCAGAGCGAGACTGTGTCTTTAAAAAAAAAAAAAAAAATTGTTTGGCAGCAAATCTACTCTATGACACCATGCCCAATTCAACAGATTAAATAAAAAGATACTTGGAGGCTTGTCCAAAGGTAATGAGTTATCTCAGTTGATTGTACACAATTAGTTATAGATCAAACTCCTTGTTTCCAACTCCTTGTTCTACTCTTCCCCACTTCCCCCTTCTCACTACTGTGCTAGACTAGCCTGAAAAAAAAAAAAAAAAAAAAAGATATTTGGGAATATTTTTTGCTATGCTCTATTAGAACCACAGGTACCATTAAAAACAAAAACACTTCATTTGTATTGGCCCCATGGCATTATTCAGGGCCTTCATATATGCCGCCATATAGGCTCCTAGTTTCCTTCCAAACCGAATTTTTTATAGAGTCCATACTTCCCGACATAGTCTCACAGCTCCAACAACCTTTTAGAACTTTCACTACACTTGTCTACTTGACAAAAACGTTTGTTCTGACTAAAGCATTCATTGAAATGTTATAAGTTGTTTTATTATTATGACTAAAATAAATAGAGATGAGGAAGCAATGAAGTAACATTCCAATATTCAATTTATATAAAATTTATGTTTTCTGGTTAAGAATCAACACTTTCATTACCAGCAATTGAAATTTTTCTTTAAGAAAACTGTCACAAAGAAAGCCAGGCATGATGGCTCACACCTGTAATCCCACCACTTTGGGAGGCAGAGGCAGGAGGATTGCTTGAGCCCGGGAGTTCAAGAATAGCCTGGTCAACATAGTGAGACCCTCATCTCTATTTAAAAAAAAAAAAAAACCTTTAAAAACTTAGCCAGGCATGGTGGCGCGTGCCTGTTATTCCCAGCTATACTTTGGAGGATCACTTAAGTCCAGGAGTTAGAAGCTGCTGTGAGCTATGATTGTGCCACTGCACTCCAGCCTTGGTGACAGAGTGAGGACCTGTACTAAGCAAGACTCTGTCTCTAAGAAGAAATTTTTTAAAAAAGAAAATTGTCACAAAGAAATAAAACTTGTTTCATATCCCTGGTACTACGTATATAACCATATCTTGGGATATGAGACTACTGACCAGAGAAAAAGCTACAATGAGAGTGACTGATCAGCCAGGCCCCTAGCTAAGTGATTCAAAACCACACACCAAACTTTTATTGAATAGGATTTTATTTCCTGCTTCAGTAAAATTAGAAATTATTAATGCTATATACCTTCAGGGTTGTTTGTAAATGATCAAAACAGAGCACGTTGCCACCAGACAAATCTGGGACAATTTAAATACCAAAATAATTTAGTAATAAATTAAAAATCCTTAAAAAAAAGGAATTTATGAGCCTATACCAATAATAAATAGATAAATAAATGAAGAAAAAAAGAGAAGGGTTACAATAGAATATCAAAGGCTGGTTGGTAAACACGAAGGGAGTGCTGGAGTTGGAAAACCATTAAGATGGGAACAGGAAGGCCGGGCGCGGTGGCTCAAGCCTGTAATCCCAGCACTTTGGGAGGCCGAGACGGGCGGATCACGAGGTCAGGAGATCGAGACCATCCTGGCTAACACGGTGAAACCCCGTCTCTACTAAAAAATACAAAAAACTAGCCGGGCGAGGTGGCGGGCGCCTGTAGTCTCAGCTACTCGGGAGGCTGAGGCAGGAGAATGGCGTGAACCCAGGAGGCGGAGCTTGCAGTGAGCTGAGATCGGGCCACTGCACTCCAGCCTGGGCGACAGAGCGAGACTCTGTCTTAAAAAAAAAAAAAAAAAAAAGATGGGAACAGGAAAAAATGAAAAGATGGGAACAGAAAAAAAACCATTAAGATGGGAACAGGAAAAACCATAAAGATGGAAACAGGAAAAAATTACCAGTGTAAACCAAGTCTAAGAAGAAATTTTGACAATTAACAGAATATCTGCCTTGAAGTTGTCTTTCCACAAACTGCTTACTAGTTGCAGAGAGGGAAAAAACAGTACATAAACAAAGTAAAGAAATTGGAGAACTCCTTGACAGGATGATCAAAATTAATGTCGCCTGTGTGCCTCAAGATGTGATTCACAAGGACACAACAGCACCTATGCAATATTCTAGCCAAAAATACTAATTTCAATCTAATCATGAGAAAACGCCAGACAGATGCAAAATGAGGAATATTCTACTTTAAAGAGGAAAAGAAGGCTGTACTGTATTCTTTTAAAATGTCAATGTCATTAAAGACAAATAAATACTATGGAAAAACCTGACAAAAAAAGCAATGGGGAAAGGACTCCCTATTCAATAAATGGTACTGGGATAACTGGCTAGCCATATGCAGAAAACTGAAACTGGACCCCTTCCTTATACCATATACAAAAATTAACTCAATGTGGATTAAAGACTTAAACGTAAAACGCAAAACTATAAAAACCCTGAAAGACAACCTAGGCAATACCATTCAGGACACAGGTACAGGCAAAGATTTCATGACAATGACGCCAAAAGCAATAGCAATGAAAGCAAAAATTGACAAATGGGATCTAACTAAACTAAAGGGCTTCTGCATAGCTCTATCAACAGAGTAAACAGAAAACCCACAGAAAAATTTTGCAAACCATGCATCTGACAAAGGTCTACTATCCAGCACCAATAAGGAACTTAAACAAATTTACAAGAAAAAAATGGGCCAGGCCAGGCGTGGCGGCTCATGCCTGTAATCCCAGCACTTTGGGAGGCCGAGGCGGGCAGATCACAAGGTTAGGAGTTCAAGACCATCCTGGCCAAAATGGTGAACCCTGTCTCTACTAACAATACAAAAAAAGTAGCTGGGTGTGGTGGCGGGCACCTGTAATGCCAGCTACTTGGGAGGCTGAGGCAGGAGAATCGCTTGAACCCAGGAGGCGGAGGTTGCAGTGAGCCAAGATCATACCATTGCACTCCAGCCTGGCTGACAGAGCAAGACTCCCAGCACTTTGAGAGGTCGGGGAGGGTGGATCACCTGAGGTCAAGAGTTCCAGACCATCCTGGACAACATGGTGAACCCCCGTCTCTACTAAAAATACAAAAAAATTAGCCGAGCACGGTGGTGGATGTCTGTAATCCCAGTTACTCGGGAGGCTGAGGCAGAAGAATCGCTTCAATCTGGGAGGCGGAGTCAGCCAGGATCATGCCACTGCACTCCAGCCTTGGTGACAGAGCGAGACTCTCTCTCAAAAAAAAAAAAAAAAAGGAAAAAACAACCCCATTAAAAAGTCAGCAAAGGACATAAGCAGATACTTCTCAAAAGAAGACATACGTGAGGCCAACAATCATATGAAGGAAAGCTCAACATCACTGATCATTAGAGAAATGCAAATCAAAACCACAATGAGATATTTCATATCAGTCAGAATGGCTATTATTAAAAGGTCAAAAAACAACAGATGCTGGCGAGGTTGTGGAGAAAAATAAAAAGTCAAAAAATAACAGATGCTGGTGAGGTTGTGGAGAAAAAGGAATGCTTATACATTGTTGGTGGGAGTGTGAATTAGTTCAACCACTGTGGAAGACTGTGTGGCAATTCCTCAAAGACCTAGAGACAGAAATATTATTTGACCCACCAATCCCCTTACTGGGGTACATACCCAAAGGAATATAAATCAGTCTACCATAAAGACACACGCATGCTATACTCACTGCAGCACTATTCACAATAGCAAAGACATGGAATCAACCTAAATGCCCATCAATGACAGACTGGATAAAGAAAATGTGGTACATACACACCATGGAACACTATGCAGCCATAAAAATGAACGAGATCATATCCTTTGCAGGGACATGGATGGAGCTGGAGGCCATTATCCTTAGCCAACTAGCAAAGGAACAGAAAACCAAATACCACATGTTCTCACTTATAAGTGGGAGCTAAACAATGAGAACACATGGACACATAGAGGGGAACAACACACACTGAGGCCTATCAGCGAGTGGAAGGTGGGAGGAGGCAGAGAAGCAGGAAAAATAACTAATGGGTATTAGGCTTAACACCTGGGTGATTAAATAATCTGTATAACCAACCCCCATGACGCACGTTTACCTATGTAACAAACCTGCGCATCCTGCACATATACCCCTAAACTTAAAATAAAAGTTAAAAAAAATACCATGGACATGATTCAGATTAAAGGAGGTCAGAATACATAAAAATTCCTGGTATATATATGGGTTGTATGTTTGAAAATTACTTTAAAAACAAATAAACAGGCGTGGTGGCTCACGCCTGTAATCCCAGCACTTTGGGAGGCCGAGGCAGGCGGATCACAAGGTCAGGAGATCGAGGCCATCCTGGCTAACATGGTGAAACCCCGTCTCTACTAAAAAATACAAAAAATTAGCCAGGCGTGGTGGCGGGTGCCTATAGTCCCAGCTCCTGGGGAGGCTGAGGCAGAAGAATGGCATGAACCCAGGAGGCGGAGCGTGCAGTGAGCAGAGACTGCGCCACTGCACTCCAGCCTGGGCGACACAGTGAGACTCTGTCTCTAAATAAATAAATAAATACAAATATAAAAAACAAATAAAAGACATAAAAGAGGTAGCACTGGTCATTATGAAATTGTTTCTTTGTTTCTCATTTATTTTATTAGTTGACAGGTTAAGAAGATACTAAGAATACTATAGTTACAAAAATCTGTATAACCAACAAAAGAGAATATCTTTTGTTCACAGATATTCTCGATTATTGACTAACACAAAGGGATACAAAAAGCATACCTGCAACTGTGAACACTGGGGAACTTTCCTCCGAGGTGGAGTCGGGATAAATGAAGTGTGTTTCCTGATTGATTCTAATCGTTTTTGCAGAGGAGTGGCACCTACAAAGTAATCTTCAGGTCTTGAGGATGCACTAGGAGTTGATTCTGGTACATCATAAGAATCCATGGTCTGTCTACATAAGAAGAAATAAAACCAGAATTCTAAGCACTAAAAAGTTAACTGATGCTCAGTTTCACTGATTCCTCTCCTCACTCTAAAGGAATCTTTTCTCTTTCTTTCTTTTCCCCTCCCTATTCCCAGTTTTAAACCAAGTCCTATATTCCTTATTGGCTATGGCCCACTTTTATGTATATCTTACAGATACCTCAAACACAGTGTATGTTCAAAACTAAATTCAACTTCTTTTCCTCCTTCAAAAAGCTAACTGATCCATTTTCAAATTCCTGTCAATTTGCTAAGTTAACTTAAATTCATGTAGTCTCCCACCTTCATTCTTTAACATACAGTCATTAAGCACATTCTACTGAGTTTTTCTTTCAAGAATCTGTCGAATCTGGTTCCAAGATGGCTGAATAGGAACAGCTCTGGTCTGCAGCTCCCAGCGTGATCGACCCAGAAGATGGGTGATTTCAGCATTTCCAACTGAGGTACCTGATTCATCTCACTGGGACTGGTTGGACAGTGGGTGCAGCCCATGGAGGGTGAGCCGAAGCAGGGTGGGGCGTTGCCTCACCCAGGAAATGCAAGGGGTCCAGGGATTTCCCTTTCCTAGCCAAGGGAAGGCGTGACAGACTGTACCTGGAAAACCGGGACACTCCCACCCAAATATTGAGCTTTTCCTACGGTTCTGGCAACCAGCAGACTAGGAGATTCTCTCCCGTGCCTGGCTCGGCAGGTCCCACGCCCATGGAGCCTTGCTCACTGCTAGCCCAGCAGTCTGAGATTGACCTGCCAGGCAGCAGCCTGGCAGCAGGGAGGTGCATACACCATTGCTGAGGCTTGAGTAGCTAAACAAAGTGGCCAGGCAATTCAAACTGGGTGGAGCCCACCACAGCTCAGCAAGGCCTACTGCCTCTATAGACTCCACCTCTGAGGGCAGGGCATAGCTGAACAAAAGGCAGCAGAAACGTCTGCAGACTTAAATGTCCCTGTCTGACAGCTCTGAAGACAGCATTCTCCCAGTATGGCGTTTGAGCGCTGAGAACAGACAGACTGCCTCCTCAAGTGGGTCCCTGACCCCCGTGTAGTCTAACTGGGAGACACCTCCCAGTAGGGGCCGACTGACACCTCATACAGGCAAGTGTCCCTCTGGGATGAAGCTTCCAGAGGAAGGATCAGGCAACAATATTTGCTGTTCTGCAAAATGCTGTTCTGCAGCCTCCACTGGTGATATCCAGGCAAACAGGGTCTGGAGTGGACCTCCAGCAAACTCAAACAGACTGCAGCTGAGGGACGTGACTGGTAAAAGAAAAACTAACAAAAATAAAGGAATAGCATCTACATCAACAAAAAGGGCATCCACACCAAAACCCCATCTGTAGGTCACCAACATCAAACACCAAAGGTAGATAAAACCACAAAGATGGGGAGAAACCAGAGTACAAAAGCTGATAATTCTAAAAACCAGAGCACCCCTTCTCCAAAGGATCACAGCCCCTTGCCAGCAACGGAACAAAGCTGGACGGAGAATGGCTTTGACAAGTTGACAGAAGTAGGCTTCAGAAGGTTGGTAATAACAAACTTCTCTGAGCTAAAGGAGCATGTTCTAACCCATCGCAAGGAAGCTAAAAACCTTGAAAAAAGGTTAGACGAGTGGCTAACTAGAATAAACAGTGTAGAGAAGACCTTAAATGACCTAATGGAGCTGAAAACCATGGCATAAGAACTTCATGATGCATGCACAAGCTTCAATAGCCAATTCAATCAAGTGGAAGAAAGGATATCAGTGACTGAAGATCAAATTAATGAAATAAAGCGAGAAGACAAAATTAGAGAAAAAAGAGTAAAAAGAAACAAACAAAGCCTTCAAGAAATAAGGGACTATGTGAAAAGACCAAATCTACGTTTGATTGGTGTACCTGAAACTGACGGTGAGAATGGAACCAAACTGGAAAACACTCTCTACGATATTATCCAGGAAAACTTCCCCAACCTAGCAAGGCAGGCCAACATTCAAATTCAGGAAATACACAGAACACCACAAAGCTACTCTTCGAGAAGAGCAACCCCAAGACACATAATTGTCAGATTCACCAAGGTTGAAATGAAGGAAAAAATGTTAAACACAGCCAGAGAGAAGGGTTGGGTTACCCACAAAGGGAAGCCCATCAGGCTAACAGCAGATCTCCTGGCAGAAACTCTACAAGCCAGAAGACAGTGGGGGCCAATATTCAACATTCTTAAAGAAAGGAATTTCAACCCAGAATTTCATATCCAGCCAAACTAAGCTTCATAAGTGAAGCAGAAATAAAATCCTTTACAGACAAGCAAATGCTGAGAGATTTTGTCACGAGGCCTGCCTTACAAGAGCTCCTGAAGGAAGCGCTAAACATGGAAAGAAACGATCAGTACCAGCCACTGCAAAAACATGCCAAATTGTAAAGACCATCGATGCTAAGAAGAAACTGCACCAACTAACGGGCAAAATAACCAGCTAACATCATAATGTCAGCATCAAATTCACACATAATAATATTAACTTGAAATGTAACTGGGCTAAATGCCCCAATTAAAAGACACAGCCTGGCAAATTGGATAAAGAGCTAAGACCCATCAGTGTGCTGTATTCAGGAGACCCATCTCAAATGCAAAGACACACATAGGCTCAAAATAAAGAGATAGAGGAAGATCCACCAAGCAAATGGAAAGCAAAAAAAAGGGAGGGGTTGCAATCCTAGTGTCTGATAAAACAGACTTTAAACCAAGAAAGATCAAGAGACAAGGAAGGTCATTACATAATGGTAAAGGGATCAATTTAACAAGAAGAGCTAACTAACCTTAAATATATATGCACCCAATACAGGAGTACCCAGATTCATAAAGCAAGTCCTTGGAGACCTACAAAGAGCCTTAGAATCCCACACAATAATACCGGGAGACTTTAATACCCCAACGTCAATATTAGATCAATGAGACAGAAGGTTAACAAGGATATCCAGGACTTGAACTCAGCTCTGCACCAAGCGGACCTAACAGACACCTACAGAACTCTCCACCCCAAATCAACAGAATATACATTCTTTTCAGCACCATGTCACACTTATTCTAAAATTGACCACATAATTGGAAGTAAAGCACTCCTCAGCAGATGTAAAAGAACAGAAATCACAACAAACTGTCTCTCAGACCACAGTGCAATCAAAATTAGAACTCAGGATTAAAAAACTCATTCAAAACCACACAACTACATGGAAACTGAACAACCTGCTCCTGAATGACTACTGGTTAAATAACAAAATGAAGGCAGAAATAAAGATGTTCTTTGAAACCAATGAGAACAAAGATGCAATGTACCAGAATCTCTGGGACACATTTAAAGCAGGGTGTAGAGGGAAATTTATAGCACTAAATGCCCACAAGAGAAAGCAGGAAAGATCTAAAATCAACACCCTGACATCACAATTAAAAGAACTAGAGAAGCAAGAGCAAACACATTCAAAAGCTAGCACAAGGCAAGAAATAACTAAGAACAGAGCAGAACTGAAGGAGATAGACACACAAAAACACCGTTCAAAAAAATCAGTGAATCCAGGAGCTGGTTTTTTGAAAAGATCAACAAAATTGATAGACTGCTAGCAAGACTAATAAAGAAGAAAAGAGAGAAGACTCAAAAAGATGCAATAAAAAATGAGAAAGGGGATATCACTACCAATCCCACAGAAATACAAACTACCATCAGAGAATACTATAAATACTTCTATGTAAATAAACTAGAAAATCTAGAAGAAATGGATAAATTCCTGGACACATACACCCTCCTAAGACTAAACCAGGGAGAAGGCAAAACTCTGAATAGACCAATAACAGGCTGTGAAATAGAGGCAATAATTAATAGCCTACCAACCAAAAAAGTCTAGGACCAAATGGATTCACAGCCGAATTCTACCAGATGTACAAAGCGGAGCTGGTACCATTCCTTCTGAAACTATTCCAATCAACAGAAAAAGAGGGAATCCTCCCTAACTCATTTTATGACACCAGCATCATCCTGATACCAAAACCTGGCACAGGCACAACAAAAAAAGAGAATTTTAGACCAATATCCCTGAAGAACATCAATGCAAAAATCCTCAATAAAATCCTGGCAAACTGAATCCAGCAGCACATCAAAAAGCTTATCCACCATGATCAAGTCAGCTTCATCCCTGGGATGCAAGCTTGGTTCAACATATGCAAATCAATAAATGTAATTCATCACATAAACAGAAACAACAAAAACCACATGATTATCTCAATAGATGCAAAAAAGGCATTTGACAAAATTCAACAGCCTTTCATGCTAAAAACTCTCAATAAACTAGATATTGATGGAATGTATGTCAAAATAATAAGAGCTATTTATGACAAATCCACAGCCAATATCATACAGAATGGGCAAAAACTGGAAGCATTCCCTTTGAAAACCGGCACAAGACAAGGATGCCCTCTCTCACCACTCCTATTCAACATAATGTTGGAAGTTCTGGCCAGGGCAATCAGGCAAGAGAGAGAAATAAAGGGTATTCAATTAGGAACAGAAGAAGTCAAATGACATGATTGTATATTTAGAAAATCCCATCATCTCAGCCCAAAATCTCCTTGAGCTGATAAGCAACTTCAGCAAGGTCTCAGGATACAAAATCAATGTGCAAAAATCACAAGCATTCTTATACACCAATAACAGAGAAACAGAGCAAAATCATGAGTGAACTCCCATTCACAATTGTTACGAAGAGAACAAAATACCGAGGAATCCAACTTACAAGGGATGTGAAGGACCTCTTCAAGGAGAACTACAAACCACTGCTCAACAAAACAAAAGAGGACACAAACAAATGGAAGAACATTCCATGCTCATGGACAGGAAGAATCAATATTGTGAAACGGCCATACTGCCCAAGGTAATTTATAGATTCAATGCCATCCCCATCAAGTTACCAATGACTTTCTTCACAGAATTGGAAAAAACTACTT